TTTATATATATATATATATATATATATATATATATATATATATATATATAAATATATATATATATATATATACATATTTATATATATACATATTTATACAACAGTCCTGTCTGGTTCTTGAATCTGATTGGCTGATAGCCGTGAGATATTTTGCCAATAACCCCACACAAAGGCCTCTTCACCTTTGTGTATTACTCCGCTCACATACAAACAGAGAGACTCTACAGTTTGACAAACATTCCTGCTGTTTGGCAACATCATTTACTTTTGAGGCTATTGTAGTCGAGAATGTAGTTGTTTAGATTGCAACTATGCAGTTTATTTACAAGCATAGTCCCTATTTTAAAAATATTCATCATTTCTGACAGACAGCGTGTCGGTGTCCATTAGTAAAGACGGTTGATGTTGTCTATCCACAAGATGGCGCCAGGACTGCATAATAAGCTTAGTAGATTACAACTGTTGAGCCCGAATAAGAAGCTAAAAAACGGAAGCGTCACGGTTTTTAAGGTGGATAGAGCCAATAAGAAGCTGTGAATAAGAAGTTGGATTCAGCCTCGTCCCTCCTTAACGCAAACACAACAGCAGTCTGGTGGCTGCGCTGCTGGGGGTTGATTATTGTGATATTATGACGGTCACTTAATGTTTGATGCATTGTGTATAAATGTCATGTCCCCTTTAAGATGACTTTTTAGATGTAAGCACCTTATTGGTAAGCACACATGTATGGGAGCACAGATCAGTTCACGTCGCTCTACCACTGTATCATTCTTTTATTTCAATAATGTAACATTTTATATTGCGACGGATGTTTGAGTGGCTTTTTCTTTTCCTTTTGCCTACTCATTGTCGCTGACTGGCATGTATGTAGTCGACAGCACTTGGGAGAAATGCATAAAGGCCATTTAGAAGAGCGAAATACAGTAGTTTCTGTCTCCTTTTTTTAATTCCTGCCATTCTCCTCTGATTTCTGTGTGATATTGCTCATATATATATATATATATATATATATATATATATATATATATATATATATATATATATGTATATGTATATGTATATGTATATATATATATATTATTAGGTACACCTTATTAGTACCTGGTTGGGCCCCTAGACTAGATTGCTGTTTGATTGGTGTTAGTGAGGCCAGCAAGGGGCGCTTAATCTGCGACCTGTGTGAGTCTGAATACCCCAGTATAGTGAAGGGGTCTCTATACTATCAGTGAGTGCTGTCTTTTGTATGAGATGTTAAACCGAGGTCCTAACTCTCTGTGGTCATTAAAAACCCCATGGCACTTTTTGTACAGAGTAGGGATTTAACCCCAATGTCCTGGCCAAATCCCTCTATCGGCCCTTACCCATCATGGCCTCCCAATCATCCCCATCCACCGAATTGGCTCTATCGCTGTCTCTTCACATCGTCTATAGCTGGTGTGTGGTGAGCGCACTGGCACCATTGTCCTTTGGCTGCCGTCGCATCATCCAAGTGGATGCTGCACACTGGAGGTGGTGTGGAGAGACCCCTCTCTCATGATTGTGAAGAGCTTTGGGTGTATGGCCATACACGATAAATGCGATATATACAATACATTACATTACTTATCTTCATATAGTATTCATGAATATATAAATATGTACCAAATAAAATAAAATATGTAATAAATCAAATATAGCAAGCTTAACACGCCATGAAATTAGCCTTAGCAAGACAAACGATGTGGTGGAATTGAAATGTACATTGGATGCGATCTCGACTTTCCCAAAAAATGACAAACTGTAATTCTCTCATGATTTATATACGCTGTTGAACACCCTTTCCAGAAACGTCTTTTGTCCAGTCCCACAATTGTGCGGAAATCATGATGATTTAGAACAGGGGTTCCCAAACTTTTCAGCCAGTGACCCCCAAAATAACAATGCCTGTGACTCGCGACCTCCAATATCCCCTGAGATGGTTATAAATACAGAAAACTTGCATGCAAATGCGCACACACACACCAATAGACCCAAGTCTATTCTTCGTTTATTTATGTATGTAAGTGCTGTAAATGTGCCGGAAAGTTTAGCCTGGTATTATAAAATCAATCTGCTGCATCTGACGCTATTGCTAAGTCTTTAATATAATGATTACCCCAGGGGTCGCAATCCAATAGAACTAGTAACTATGAGCTACTACACTCTAAAAAATGTGGTTTAGACAAAACAAAACAAATTAACGCAACAGTTTGCATTAATATATTCAAGTTACATCTGACAAAATGAGGTTCAGACAACAAACTTTATTATGTTAGCCAATGTTTTCCTCTTCAATCAGAGGCATTTTTACTTAGCATAAACTCCATTTTTTAAGTTGAGAACTCAAAAAAATAAGTTGTTTCAAATATTTTTTTAAAAGTTAAAATTGAAAACAAATCCAGTGTTATGTGCGTAATTGCATGTTTTTAAGTTTAGAACCTCAAATTAAGTAGCTGTAATTGTTTAATTTTTTTTTTTTTTAGCAAATTTACTGTTCATGCTTGTATGAAATACATTTCACAACAGCATTTTTGTTTTTCAATAATATATATATATTTCTTTTATATAAAACAGGTTTTTATTGTTTTACAAAATAAAAACATGTAGTGTTCCATATTATCAGTATAAAAAACAGCAAAAAACATCAGTTTGTGGAAAAATACAAAACAACTCTATTAACGTGGAAAAATTGAGTTATCAACTCAATTTCTTTGGGTTGCTACAAGTTAAATATTGTTTAAAAGTAATTGGCATTTTTGTTTACTTTTAAATTAGCCGAATTTTTTAATTGATGTAATTTTTTTCAATATTTTCCTGTTTTGAAAACTTAATAAAATTATTCTGGCAATTTAAAAGTTTTAATCTAATCAGCATTTTAGAATTTTTAAGTTACAATAATGTATTAAACTATGTAGTGGTAACAGACCTCTTGAGTTATTTTTTAGAGTGTATAGTAACTATATAGTAACTATAAACAACTTTTTTTTTTCTTGTCAGTAGGTTATGGATAAAATATGCTAATTTCTATGGTTTAATAAAAATAAATAAATATTTGGAAATCACCAGGCGACCCCCCCCTTCATTGTCCCGCAACCCATTGGGGGGTCCCGACCCCCACTTTGAGAACCACTGATTTAGAAAAATATCGCACAAGCAGCCTTTTAAGAGTCTTTTTTTTTCTTATTTTATTAGCCGCAATCGATGATAGAAAATTAAGTTTCATCTCGGCGCTAAATAATAAGTCTCTCTCCAATTGCACTAATAAATATTTCCATTAATGAAAGTGAAGTTTGTTGTCCTGAAGCTGAACCGCTTGGCAGGATCTGTGTCTTCTCTGGAGAGTTTCCACGCGGAGCGGACCAGGTTTCTGCTGGATTTAATCTCCTCGTGCCATCTGTTTGATAGCAGCGAGATCTGCCTGTTAAGCAGCAGCTCAGCTCCGGCTTCTCTGTGTCTTCTGCATCTGTTCTCCTGCCCCGAAGAGCTTGTTAGGATGTAATGTGATGCACTGCTGAAGGACTGCATGTGTGTTCGGCGTCATATGGAGCTCATTGTGGATGAGATCACCAATAATGGTCACGTTACTGCAGATGTTGCAGACCTGAGAGGGCTGATTTCAAGCCATAGATGTTAAATTGACCTGCTATATTTGGATCAGCGTGTTAATTCATGCTTCCTTGTTGCAAAATATTAACAGCTAGTAAGATTTCTAAAAGTTAAGTTCTCATTAAATTCTCATTACCGAAACAGAAGTTCTCTCTACTGCCGCAGGTGAGGTATACATGTGAATGGAGTTAGGGAGGATGAGGTACCTCAGTATGTTTTGTGAGTCTCTGTGTAAATGTTTAGACTTTTAAAAAGTACATTTAATCTATAAAAGTACAATGTAAAAGAGTGCTTAATTCGGTAATGATCAAAAAGTCATTTTGACAGGGGAAATTATACCAATAATCTTCATGTTACTTCAGATGTTGCAGACCTAAGAGGGCCGAGTTTGTTAATTTAACAATAAATTCATGAGAGTTCTTTAAAATTAGTATGCAATATGCTTAAATTACCGAAACAGAAGTTCTCTCTACCGCAACGGTTGCGGTATATATGAGAATGAAGTTGAGGAGGATGAGGTACCTCAGTATGTTTTGCTAATAACGGGGGAACTACAATGAATTAGCTCATTTTACTCAGTGCTGATATTTCGACTTTTAAAAAATACAACGGAACAATAAAAATACAATGTAGAAAAGTGCTTGTTTCGGTAATGATAATCGAGAAATCGTCTAATCATTCTGACCGGAAAATTATTTCAGTAATCTTCATGTTACTGCAGATGTTGCATACCTGATAGGGCCGAGCTCATTATTTTAACATTAAATTCACAAGATTTATTTAAATTTAGTATGCAACATGCTTAAATTCTCATTACCGAAACAGAAGTTCCCTCTACCCCAACATATGCGGTATACAGTATATGAGAGTGGAGTTATGGAGGATGAGGTACCTCAGTATGTTTTGCTAATACCAGAGAAACTGTGATGGATTAGCTCATTTTTTACTTAGTGCAAATATTTAGACTTTAAAAAAGTATAATTTAACTTTTCAAAAGTACAATTTAACAATAAAAGTACAATGCAGAAAAGTGCTTGTTTCGGTAATGATAATCCAAAAGTCGTGTAACTATTCTGACAGGGGAAATTATGTCAATAATCTTGATGTTACTGCAGATGTTGCAGACCTGAGAGAGCTGCTTAAATTCTCATTACCTAAACAGAAGTTCTCTCTATCGCAACGGTTGCGGTATATGAGAATGGAGTTGTGGTGGATGAGGTACCTCACTATGTATTTCTAACAACAGAGAAATTACAATGCATTAGCTAATTTGCAAAGGTACATAGAAAACTGCTTGTTTGGGTAATGATAATCAAAAAGTTGTGTAACCATTCTGACTGGAAAATTATTCCAAAAATCTTCATGTTACTGCAGATGTTGCAGACCTGAGAGGGCAGAGTTCAGCAAATTAACATTAAATTCATAAGAGTTACTACTTTAAAATAGGCAATATTCTAAAATTCTCATTACCGAAACAGAAGTTTCTTATGCAGTCTTATGCAGTGGTTGCGGTAGATATGAGAATGGAGTTGCAGATGATGAAGTACCTCAGTATGTTTTGCTAATAACAGAGACATAATGATGGATTAGCTATTTTTTTACTCAGTCCAAATATTTAGACTTTTCAAAAGTACAATTTAACAATAAAAGTACAATGTAGAAAACTGCTTGTTTCGGTAATGATAATCCAAGTCATGTAACTATTCTGACAGGGGAAATTATTTTAATAATCTTCATGTTACTGCAGATGTTGCAGACCTAAGACAGCTAAGTTCATCAAATTAACATTAAATTCTTAAGAGTTTTATAAAAGTTGTATAAAATATTCTGAAATTCTCATTACCGAAACAGAAGTTCTTTCTATCGCAGCAATTACAGTTTATGAGAATGGCGTTGCGGTGGATAAGGTACCTCAGTTTTTTTTCTAATAACAGAGAAATTACAATGCATTAGCTAATTTTTACTCAGTGCAAATATTTAGATTTTTTTTAAAGTACATTTGTACAGCAAAGGTACAATGTAGAAAACTGCTTGTTTCGGTAATGATAATCAAAAAGTCGTGTAACCATTCTGACTGGAAAATGATTCCAATAATCTTCATGTTAAGAACAATAACTTCATAAGAGTTACTACTTTAAAATATGCAATATTCTTAAACTCTCATTACCGAAACAGAAGTTCTCTCTATTGCAGCGGTTGCGGTATATATACTGTATATCAATAGAGTTGCGGAGGGTGAGGTATGTTTTTCTAATAACAGAGAAACTACAACAGATTACCTCATTTTTACTAATATTTTTACTTTTAAAAAGGACATTTGTGCAATAAAAGTACAATGTAGAAAAGTGCTTGTTTCGGTAATGATAATCCAAATGTCATGTAACCATTCTAACAGGGGAACATTATAGCAATTCAATTCAATTCAATTCACCTTTATTTGTATAGGGCTTTTACAATGTAGATTGTGTCAAAGCAGCTTCACATAAATGGTCATAGTAAATTGGAACAGAGTATTTCAGTTTTTTAGTGTTGAAGTTCAGTTCAGTTTAGCTCAGTTCAGTGTGGTTTAAAATCATTACTGAGAGTCCAAACGCTGAAGAGCAAATTCATCGATGGGTAGCTCTACCAATCCCAAACCATGCAAGCCAGAGGCGACAGCGGAGAGGGAAAAAAAACTTCACCAATTGGCAAATGAAGAAAAAAAAACCTTAAGAGAAACCAGACTTAGTTGGGCATGACCATTTTAATTTTTCCGCTGGCCAAACGTCTTGTACAGAGCTGCAGTCTCAGCGGCGGAGGCTGGAAGCTGGCCTCAGCGAAGACTCGTCTGTCCCTTGAGCATCACTAGAATCCGTATAATGTTCTCCTCTCCTCCATGACCAGCACAGCAGCTGCTCAGGATACGGCCTGGTCTAGGATATGGAAACCTTGGGATCATCTCGTTGCTGGTCTTTGATCCAATCAGTGACTCTGCATAGTCTGAGGGCCTCGTGATGAGCATCCCCAAGTGGAAGTGGAGAAAAAAGAGAATGATTAGCGTAGCTGCTGTTCATAGTGTATATAAACAAGATGCAGTAATCGTCATGTTACTGCAGATGTTGCAGAACTGAGAGGGCAGAATTTAATTTAACATTAGATTCATAAGAGTTATTTAACAGCATTATGCAATATGCCTAAATTCTCATTACCGAAGTTCTCTCTACCGCAACTATTGCTGTATATTTAAGAGTGGAGTTGCAGAGGATGAGGAGCCTCAGTATGCTAATAATACAGAAACTACAATGGATTACTTACATGCAGTATTAGCTAAACTATATACACCTTAACCCTCAGGTGACCCCATAGACACGGATTACACCGCTGTGGGCTGCGCCATCACCACCATCTCCTCCAACTTGACGGAGATGTCCAAGGGTGTGAAGCTGCTGGCGGCTCTGATGGAGGATGAAGTGGGCAGCGGGCAGAACCTGATGGGAGCCGCGAGGACCCTCACAGGGGCCGTGTCTGACCTGCTGAGAGCCGTGGAGCCCACGTCTGGAGAGGTGACCAATGCAAAACACACAAATCTAACAAAAATGCACTGCTGTTTACAGGCAAAAAGGTGCTGCCATTCTGCACACAGCAGTGGTTCTCAACTGTTTGCGACATTCTGTCTTCATGATACATGTTTTGGTTGTCAAAAAGTTCTCTGTGCTGATTGTGGATTTTGGCTTTCGCTTGTATGGTGACTCTGCACTGCCAAAACACGGCTCAAAATGCTTTTTCGAATGCAAAAACATTGAAAAAAAAGAAAAATAATTAAACCCAGACCCAAGTGAATTTTTCGGAGGTTGTGTGTCAATACAATTGACAGAACGTTAGGTCGAATTTACTTTTTAATGTGCAAAAATGTTTGACAAAGAATTTTAGATTTGGTGTTGCAATGAACTTAACCCTTGTGTACTGTTAGGAATGTTTCCATCCACTCTGGGGTGATACTGAGACTTAATTTGGCCACAAGTTTGTCTGTCTCTCAGCAAATGGAATGATTTTTGGTGACAAACCTTATTTTGAGGGCGAAGCAGTGGCGCAGTAGGTAGTGCTGTCGCCTCATAGCAATAAGGTCGCTGGTTCGAGCCTCGGCTCAATTGGTGTTTCTGTGAGGAGTTTGCATGTTCTCCCTGCGTTCGCGTGAGTTTCCTCCGGGTGCTCCGGTTTCCCCCGGTGAATACAGGTGAATTCGGTTGGCTAAATTGTCCGTAGTGTATGAGTGTGTGTGGATGTTTCCCAGAGATGGGTTGCGGCTCGAAGGGCATCCGCTGTGTAAAAAACTTGATGGATAAGTTGGCGGTTCATTCCGCTGTGGCAACCCCGGATTAATAAAGGGACTGAGCCGACGAGAAAATGAATGAATGAACCTTATTTTGACACATGTTTTGGGAAAATGCCTTGGAATTTTTCAAAAATTCAACAATACACTCTGGACAAAAATGACTACCCTTTCATTATGTTTGGGGCTGTTTTTGCCCCATTGACATCCATTATAATGACATGGCATGTGTGCATACAGCTTTGTACGCTTATCTTAATATGTTTAAGTAAATAAAAAATAAGCAGCTCAGCTCTCAGAACATAGTAAACACCGTAAGTGTATTCATGCACACACACTATATTCTGCTGTTTTACTCCAAAGAACTCCATATAAAAGCCAGAAACTTTTTTTTTCTTTTTGCACATGTCTATCTAAAGGTTTAATGCTGCCAACTGATGGCCAACAGTAAAAAAGAACAAATTTGACCTCTTCCCATGAGGGAAAACCACTAACAATCAAGAATGCATGATTATTTGGTGTTGTGGCTTTGCAATAAAAAATGTCATTATAATGGAAGTCAATAGGGCAAAAACAGCCCCCAACATAACGAAAGGGTAGTCCATTTGAACAGTACACAAGGGTTTACTCTGATTTTAGGGGGACTTTAGTAGCACACTGTGTTTACATGTTGGTTTGTGTAATTGTAGTGGCTGCAGATCTGATAAACAGGATGTTTTTAGCTGTAAAACGTGGAGGGTCTGTTTTGAGGTATGTGTCAATCTAAACCTACAGCCCAGACAAACGGTGCTGACAGCGGCCGGGAGCATCGGACAGGCCAGCGGAGACCTGCTCAAACAAATGGGAGAGGGAGAGACCGACGGGAGATTCCAGGTAAATGTTCCTTTTACTACAGTGACTCCAGGACCAGAGGTATTTTTCTCTCTTCACAGCATTACAAACTGATGTAGAAATGGGTCACATTTTATTTTAAGGTACAGTTCTTGAAAATAATAAACCATTAACTATGACTTTCAGCTCAATAAACGCCTACATTTTTGCCAAAACTGGAACTCTTACACACAAAAAAATATATTTTTTATGTTTCATAGCATTTATTATAGTCCAAATTGTAGGCCAACAGTTTGAACACTCTAATTTATATTTTAGGGAACAATAGTACATGACATTTAAATAAAAATTCTATTAAAATTAAGTGAAACTTTGTCATTTTTTTTCACCTCATTTGACTTTAAGGGCCCTATTATCCACCCGGCACAATGTGGCGCAAGGCGCGACGCAATTGTTGTTTGCTAGTTTCAGCTTGGCGCAAGAGTCATTTTGACGTTTTGCGCCACGCTGTTTAAATAGCAAATGCTTTTGCGCTCATGTGTGCGCTCATAGGCGTTCTGATCTAAAAAGGAGGCATTCTGAGGCGCATTGCTGGTGCGTTGCTATTTTGAGAAACTATAATAGATTTTTCAATAGACCAAAAGAAAGCCGGTCTATTGTCCAGCGCAGAGCACGTTAGTTGTGTGCCTCGCTTACACACTGCTTAATACACACAAGATGTAGAGCAATACGCAAATACCTTCACATATGAAAAAGAATTTAAATATTAAAGATATATATAGGATATAATAAGGATATATATAGGACATAACAAGGATATATATATATATATATATGGTATAATAAGGATATATATTGGATATAACATGGATATATATAGGATATAAATATAAAGGATTAAAATATTACAAAACATATTATTTTCTATCCTACGTAAATATAAAAAAAACACTGCCTTCATGCCTTCTTCATCTCGGGGGCTTTTTCAGTTTATTCATGACAATTTGCTTTTGTATAACGTTATCGTTATTAGCAGTATTATTTATTTTATCCATTTTTATATTTGTTTTATTAAAAACAAGCTTAGATTTGTCCACCTGTCAGGTTTCTAACCATATAGAGCACAGCATGTGTTTTAGGATATAACTAGAACAAGGATAGAACAAGCGTAATCTAGAGGCCTTTGCCTTTTACATAAGCCACTTCTGATACCAAAATGATCAACTAGAAGTCAAGTTATTATTTGTTTGTTGTTGTTTTTTTTTCTTTAACCATTTTTTATTTTCTCTTGTGTATAAATTAAATGTTCAACTAAAAAAAGAACATAAAATATGATTTAAAATTAAACATTATATTAAAAACCTAATTCACATTCATTGAATAACCATCTCTACTTTGGTCAGTTCTTGAAAAATAGCATGTTTGAACATTTGTAATTTTCTAGTATATAAAAAGACATGCTGTGTCTGAAATGCAGGCAAACCTTTTCTCTAAAATCTTTTATATGACAATGTGCTATTCATTCCTTAGGGAATGATGCAATCTAGTGAAAAACGACAGCTTACTATGAAACATCGTCAGCTGTTATAAGTACAAACACAATATGCTTTGAGTTTATTTCAAAAGATATAGGGAGATACTAAAAAGGAAAACTCTGTCGGTGTTTACTCACCCTCACTGAGTTACTTTCTTCACATTGAACACAAACAAAAAAAAAACCTTTTTAAAATGTCGCCAATCATAACCATGGACTTCCATATTATGTTTCTCCCTTCTATGGAAGTCAGCGGTTCCTATTGGCCTTTTGGTGACATTTTTCAAAGGTTTTTCTTTTGTGTTTTAGTCTATATAGTCTATAATCTCAAAATGTTTTGAAATTCATCAGCTCTTTATTTACCATCATTACTTAATATTCAGCTGAAGAATGGTTCTATTTTTAGGTGTACTGTCACTTTAAATGTAGTTAAAGGGATAGTTCACCCAAAAATGTAAATTTACTTACTGTTTACTCTCCCTCAAGTGGGTATACACCTTTCATGAGTTTCATTCTTCTGTTGAACACAGAATAAGATATTTTGAGGAAAAACATGCAACCATTAACTCGCATAGTAGGAAGAACTATTTAACTCATAAAGGTTGAGTAAACTATGATAGAATAATTTTTTGTCTGTGTGTGAACTATCCCTTTAAATCATCTCTTTCAATGAATGGGGTTTGTTTACCTCAGGAACTGAACTGTTGAGCTCTGATATTTGCTTTTCACTCTGATTGGTTAATTCGAGAGTCCCTCAGTAGTCTCCAGCATTCTTCAAAATATCTTCTTTTGTGTTCAACAGAAGACAGAAACTCATAAAAGTTGAGTAAATAATGACAGAATTTTCATTTTGGGTGCACTGTTCCTTTAAATCACCTCAGGCTATGAGAGGGGTTTGTTTACCTCAGGAACTGAACTGTTGTGTTCTGCTATTTGCTTTCCCGGTTAATTTGTGAGTCCCTCAGTGGTTTCCAGCATTCTTCAAAATATCTTCTTCTGTGTTGAACTCATAAAGGTTGAGTAAATGATGATAGAATTTTCATTTTTGGGTGATTTGTCCCTTTAAATCACCTTCAAATGAATGCGGGTTGTTTACCTAAGGAACTGAACTGTCATGCTTTGATATTTGCTTTATCCTGCTCTTCTGACTGGTTAATTCAAAATCCCTCAGCCAATTGCACGCTCCCAGTCTCATTATGTCCCGTCAAGGCAGTTTTCTCATGTAGTAAACACTTTAGCGCCCATCTTCGACACGTAAAATTTGATTTCGTGTGGTTCAGCTGATGCTGTCACAGTCGGTTAGCCTCGGCGAGCCTCTGATTGCCCTCTATTTGATTGTGTTACACTCTATCCTTGTGCTGATTTCATTCATTAGCCTGGGCCAGGTTGCTTCACAGTGTGTTTCTTTGGATGACGAATGTGTTTCAGGACATTATGATGAACCTGGCTAAAGCCGTAGCGAACGCCGCCGCTATGCTTGTGCTGAAGGCCAAGAACGTGGCGCAGGTGGCCGAGGACACGGCGCTCCAGAACCGGGTCATTACCGCCGCCACGCAGTGTGCACTTTCCACATCACAGCTGGTGGCCTGTACTAAGGTACTTCTGACAGATGAAGAGAAATGATGCCGATAACATTATACACAACTGCTTTTTAGGATGAATCAAATTATATTTAGCTAAGATATTAACTAATCATTCTAAAGGAAATTATTCAACCTTTCCAAAGTTGAAAAATGTTTTTGATTATAAGCGTCTTCTGTCAATATAGAGTAGAAACTGTACAATTATTATTATTACTCTTTAATAGAACTGTTTTTAATTTTAATTAATTTTAAATTGTCATTTATTTCTGCAATGCAAAGCTGAATTTTAAGTGTCTTTAATGCCTCACGATCCTACCACAATCCTTCTAATTTGCTGATTTGCAGCTGAATTATTCAGTTTTTGTTTGTTTTGGGATTTTTATAAACTGTACCTTGCGAAGGAACCTCCTTTATGGAATAGTGTGGTGGGACGGGGGAGATGGTGGGGTGTTATAGTGAGGGATGGATTGCGGATGAAAGTGAAGAGCGGGGTGCGGGTAGAGGATGAAAGTAAAGAGAGGGGAGGGGTGGGGGGTGGTTGGATCGCAGATAAAAGTGATGACCTGGGGGGGGGGATCGCAGATGAAAGTGAAGAGCGGGGGGCGGTTGGGGTATGGGGCTTGGATCGCAGATGAAAGTGAAGAGCGGTGGGTGGGATAGCGGATGAAAGTGAAGAGCGGGTGGTGATGGGGGATTGGTGGGGGGGGTTGCAGATGACAGTGAAGAGCTGTATTGGCGCGGGCCTTTGATAGTGTCTCTGGGGCCCCCATAAATGTATGGGCCCTTAGAATCATCCTAACTTTCCCCCCTTGCGGCGCCCCTGGTGGCAGGAAACCCACATGAGCACGGGGAGGTCGTGTAAACTCCGCACAGAAATGTCGGCTGGCTTGGTAAGGACTAGAACCTGTGACGTTCTTGCTGTGAGGCAATAGTGCTAACCACTGGGCCACCGTACCACCCATCTAGGAAAGGAGGAGGAGTAGGGGTGGAAGGGTGGATTCTTCAAAGGAAGATGCTTCTTATATGGAACTTGGATTTCATAGTGACTTAGGAGTCGTATGATTGGGGAATCATAAATTAAATAATCATAAGCACATGATCCTCTCGAAATTAGTTTAGAAATTAACTTCACAACAATATTCTAGTGGTTATTGGACATTTTAATGAAAGGAATTGGACATATGGTGCTTTTAAGGTGAAACCATAAATACATGTAATTTCACCATCAGTTCATATTGTCATTACTTGTTTGAAAAGCACATACTGATGTCTCCTTTGGTCTGTTTTGTGTGTTAGGTGGTGAGTCCCACCATCTCGTCCCCGGTGTGCCAGGAGCAGCTGGTGGAGGCAGGCCGGCTGGTGGAGCGCTCGGTGGAGGGCTGTCTGAGGGCCTGCCACGCCGCCTCCGAGGAAGCCGAACTGCTCCGGCAGGTCAACCTGGCGTCCGGAGGCGTCAGTCAGGCGCTCAGTGACCTGCTGCAGCACGTCCGCCACTATGCCAGCTGCGGAGAGCCCATCGGACGCTACGACCAGGCCACCGACACCATCATGACCGTCACTGAGAGCATCTTCACCTCCATGGGCGACGCAGGTAAGAGTTATTAATGTTTGTGTGTTCATTAATAGGTTTAACATGTCGTCACACCATTAGGGGAACGCCTCTTTGGCGGGCATATATCTGGTAATGATCGTCAAGTCACAGGAGTGAAAAGGAGGAAATCACTGAGTGATTTTTCTTTTCTAGCCAAAAAGCCGGATATTTGTTGTGCAATAAGGCTTAGCGTATGGAACAAAATCAATGGCAAAAGTATTGAAAATAAAAAGCTTGTCAAACAGCACTAACTGAAAAAATAATACACTGAATTAACAACTGCTTGCATTATAATGACTTGAATTGCCAGAGTTTGTAATTTTAGGTCCTGCAATTTATTATTTAAGCTGAGAATATTTCAATTCAACACATTTTTATGCTTAAATTCAATATTTCATATTCAACTTCCAGATTTCACTTTTTCAGTTTCATTTTCAGTTCATTTTATTTCCGTTCAAAAATTCGCTTCCATAATTTCAGTAGCTTAAATTCAACTGTTAAAATTCGACATTACATCCGGGAGCTGCAGGAAAAGCAATAGATTGCAGATAGCAGATTCGATAAATTGCAGATTGCTTTTTAACCATCAGATAGAGCTGGACTAATTTTAAGATTTTTAAACCAGTAAATAGGGGAGAAAAAAAGCTATTAACGGCACAAAAGTAGCATTTAATATTAATATTAACGTCTTGGACATTATAAGTAGGCTAATAAAAGGATTATGAGTAGGCCCAAAATGAGGTGGTGCGCTGGAGCAGCTTTAAGTTGGTCCTTGGCGCGGTTAATTTCAGTTCTTCAAAATAGCAACGCGCCAATGATGAGCCTTAACAAACCTCCTTTTCAGTTTTAATGGTGTTCCTGGCCTCGTTTTGGGCATTAACAATTCCACTGTTTGTGTCTTTGTTTCTGGTTACCCACAAGCAATGTTAATTATCGATTTGTAATGCTCAGATAAATATTTAACTTGCTAGTTTTTTGTGTTTCCACTTCAGGGCTGTTGATCCTCAGTTTGTTTTGTCTCAGTGAGGGCTTTTAAAAGTTATTTTGTCTGCGGTCTGTGCTTTGTTTTCGAGCCGTTTTCAAAACTGAAGGTGTTTGTTATACTATAGCCGTAAGTTAGAGGTCTGCATTCCTGCGGCTGTCCCAAGGGAGCCGCAGTACCCAACCAGATTTCTGTGGCGCAGGAATAAGTTTCCGAATAAACAGGTTTAACAGGTAACAGGTTTAATTTGGGACGGGAGCGACTCCCGAGCGAGCGAGCACGCGTATGTAACGTTATGTGTGTGACTGAAACAGCGCGATGCTGTGTTTATCTTGTTTGTTCGTTGCTGTGTGTGTGTGTTTGTGTGTGTGTGTGTGTGTGTGTGTGCGCGCACGCGAATGAGATGTGTGTGTGTGCGCGAATGAAAGACAAAGAGAGCTTTGTCTGTGTGTGTGCTTGGTGTTTGTGTGTGTTTTTTTACAGACAGCTTGTTATAGGCTGTCTGGACTCTGTATAGCGGGGTGGATTTCGATTTTGTTCTCCCCCCTGCTCTTTAGCAGGATCAGGCGCAGCGGGTAGAAAACGGGGCGGGTCAGGCAGCGGGACAGCAAATCCTGAATATAAGCGGGAGCGGTCAGGTTTGGGCTAAAACCTGGCGGGAGTGGGATTCAAAATTTAGTCCCGCGCAGATATCTACCTTAAGTCTTTGGAAATTCTCAAAAGAGTCTGCGCATTGAGGTTGATGAAAACTAGCGTTTGGATCTGCATAGGGGCATAACTAACATGCTCTGTGCTGGACTTTAGATCTGCTTTTAGTTGGTCAATGGCGCGTCTATTTCAGTTCTTAAAAATAGAAACACGCCGATGATGCGCCTTAACACACCTCTTTTTCAGACCAGCACACCCATGAGTCCTCAAAGTGGTGCAAATGGGTTTGCTATTTAAACAACGTGGTGCGAAACGTGAAAATTAGTGTTGCGCTGGTCTGAAAATAGCAACAAATTGCGCCAAACACTTCTTGCACCTTTTTGTGCCGAATGTATGATAGGCCATGAGGAGTTTCATTTTTGGGTGCAAAAACTTGATGCTTCTCCTCAACAACCTGCACACTTTCAGGTATCATGTGCTGCATTATGAACCTTGTCCAAGGTTTATAACTTGGGTTTAAGGGATTGTCTAAATCCCAAAACCACAAATATAAGCAACAGTAGTAGTGATTTTGCTAACTGCGATAGATTGTGCTTGTACCACAGGATGTACAACAGTTCCAGGCTACAGAGAATTTATTAAATAAATGGAAATCAAAGTCAAATGAGCATACAGTAATACACAAGAGAGCTTTAATATCTTTCAGGCACATCATCCAAACAAAGCGTATCTGTGCTGTGACACAACAGGATTAGCTTTTTCCAATTCACAATTGCACAATTTTAATGGTGTTCCTGGCCTCGTTTTGTACATTAGAAACTCCGCTGTTTGTGTATCCGCTGCTGGTGACCCACAAGCGATGCTAATTGTCGATTTGTAATGCTCAAATAAATATTTATCTTGCTAGTTTTTGTGTTTCCACTCCAGGGCTGTTGACCCTCAGTTTATTTTGTCTCAGTGAGGGCTTTTTAAAAGTTATTTTGTCTGCGGTCTGTTCTTTGTTTTCGAGCCGTTTTCAAAACTGAAGAGGTTTGTTATGCTATAGCCGTAAGTCTTAGGAATGCTCAAAAGAGTCTGCGCCGTGAGGTCGATGAAAACATGCCATATAAAACCGCTACAGAGCATCAGATCTGGACTCAATCACGCACACACCCTTTCTTTGAACTCTTTTAAAGGAAAACACATGGACGAAGGTGCCAGTGGGCTTCACTGTAGCTGTTCAAGTGAAACATGGAGCATGATAAATGACCCGCAAACCTTAAGCGAAGATGCGTACTTTGTAACTTTAGAGTCAAGAAGAAATCTTGATTATTCCCTAATACACATTGTGGTTCTTATTTTGCAGAATTAATCAGTGCATTAAAAAAAAGAAAAGAAAGCTTTTTATATAGTGTGAATGAGTATGTGTGGATGTTTCCCAGTACTAGGTTGCGGCTGAAAGGACATAAGTTGGCGGTTCATTCCACTGTGGCGACCTCTGAATAATAAAGGGACTAAGCCAAAAAGAAAATGAACGAATGAATGAATGAACCTTTTATACATGCAATAACTTGCTCCACCTTTAAAATAACTTAACTGCTGACCAGTTGTTTGGTCCTTTTTCATCTATTAAATAAAAATATATAAAAAGTGTAATTAAATAATGAATTAAAGGAACAGTATAAATGTTTTTCTTTAAAATATCCAGAAACCACTAGAACAGTGTTACATATTTTGCTTCACATGTAGTTAAAGTGGAAGTGAAGCAGTCGGTCAAGTTTACATTATTGATTTCAACTTTAATGAAACTATACACTCACCGGCCACTTTATTAGGTACACCTTGCTAGTACTGGGTTGAACCCACTTTTGCCTTCGGAACTGCCTTAATCCTTCATGACGGATTCGACAAGGTACTGGAAATGTTCCTCCGAGATTTTGCTCTATATTGACATGAGAGCATCATGGAGTTGCTTATTTGTCGGCTGTACATCCATGATGCCCATCTCCCGTTCCACCACATCCCAAAGGTGCTCTATTGGATTGGGGTCTGGTGACTGTGGAGGCCATTTGAGAACAGTGAACTCATTGTCATGTCCTGAGATGATTCATGCTTTATGACATCCTGCTGGAAGTTGCCATCAGAATATGGGGACACTGTGGTCATAAAGGGATGGACATGGTCAGCAACAATACTCAGGTTGGCTGTGGCGTTGACATGATGCTCAATTGGTAATAATGGGCCCAAACTGTGCCAAGGAAATCTCCCAGCAGTTGGACAGGTGTCCCTAATAAAGTGGCCAGTGGGTGTAAATAACAAACTATTTATAATGTAGCCTTTTTAAGGAAAAGGGCATGTTTTGCTATAGGTTTTATAGGTTTTATCCATCTTGGAAAATCGACTTCACAGGGTTGGTTCTGTAATGTAATTTTTGAAAAAGAATGCTTCTTTTAAATCACATTTTCTGCTGCAACGTCAGTTAATAAGCATGCGCCTTTAAATTGCTGGAGAACGGGAGCTGAAATGGTTGCTGGCGAAAGTGGTTGCTTCTTCAAGTGGAAATACAGACATTACCTTGATTTCATTGAGCATAAAAGCAAAAATATTGCAGTCTATGTCCAGTCTCTAAAGAACTTTCGACTGCTTATAACTCAACCAGCAACTTGTTCAAGCACTTGTGGCTTGTGCGCGCATATTAGGGAACATATTGCACAAATTCGCATTCTCCAGGCGCACACAGTTAAAAACCGCAAGTCATTTTACAAGAACTGACCGATCAGCTTCATACCTTGTATGTAATTTGAACATTTCTGCAGACTAACTACCTCAGACAAACACAGAACACCCAAACACAGTTTTTTTTTATATATATATTTATTTATTTTGATACAACGGATGTCAGTGATTAAAGGGTATCCAGTTTTCTTCTAAATGATTTTTTTGTTTAAAAAAAAAAAAAAAGACAAACAGGTTTGGAACAAGTGAATGATGAGAGAATTTTAATATTTGGGAATGCTGCTGTGATCAACCCATTATAATGGATTCATTTATTCATTCCGGGGTCGCCACAGCGGAATGAACCGCCAACTTATCCAGCACATGTTTTCACGCAGCGGATGCCCTTCCAGCTGCAACCCATTCTCTGGGAAACATCCCTACACACTCATTCACACACATACACTGCGGACAATTTAGCCTACCCATTTCACCTGTACCGCATGTCTTTGGACTTGTGGGGGAAACCGGAGCACCCCGGAGGAAAACCACGCGAACGCAGGGAGAACATGCAAACTCCACACAGAAACGCCAACTGACCCAGCCGAGGCTCGAACCAGCGACCTTCTTTCTGTGAGGCGACAGCACTACCTACTGCGCCACTGCTTCACCCGTAATGTATTTCATTCATTCATTCATTTTCTTGTCGGCTTAGTCCCTTTATTAATCCGGGGTCGCCACAGCGCAATGAACCGCCAACTTATCCAGCAAGTTTTTACGCAGCGGATGCCCTCCCAGCCGCAACCCATCTCTGGGAAACATCCACACACGCATTCACACACACACTCATACACTACGGACAATTTAGCCTACCCAATTCACCTGTACCGCATGTCTTTGGACTGTGGGGGACACCGGAGCACCCGGAGGAAACCCACACGAAGGCAGGGAGAACATGCAAACTCCACACAGAAACGTCAACTGAGCCAAGGTTCGAACCAGCGACATTCTTCCTGTGAGGCGACAGCACTACCTACTGCGCCACTGCCTCGCCTTAAAAAGTATCAAAGAAAAGTAATTAGTAATCGGATTACTTTTGACAGGAAGTAATTAGTTTTGTAATCATATTACAATTTTCCTGAAGTAGTCGGTAATTTGTAATCTGTTACTTTTTTAAAGTAACTTACGCGACACTGGTTATATATATAGCCCTATTGCTAGCATATTTATAATAAACTAGTCACAACAAAAGACATTTTGATTTCATCTGGGCTTTAAATACACTGACATGTTCCCAAAGCCGAACCTGACCTCTCCAGTCTCCGCATCCCAGTCTAATGTTTCGTATTCGCCCACATTCACGCTAACTTACATTCAGGTTATGAAAAGCCCACTTTCGAATTACATCAAGTCCTACCCTTTGGTGGTTTTCCTCTGAAAACGAAGTCAAACGGCTGAACGCTTTATGGTGTTGATTTACGTACTATTTTTGAAATCCATCCTACGTTTCGAGAGGTGAAACACCCCTAACACATACCTCTCTCTCCATCCCTCGATCATCTCGTCAGCGCTTGTATTTCAGGATCCATGTAGGTGTCCGGGAAATACAGAGTCCGTTTATGGAGAAAACGAGTAGGCACGCTTTTTGAAAGGGCCCTCGATCAATGATGTACTTCAGGTCACACGGGTGCACGGGCAGCTCTTCCCGAAGCGATATGCAGAAAGATTGATTTTTCAAAGCGCTGCCAGATTCACACACATCAAAGAAACGTGGAATGGCTGTTGGTATTTTATTCCTAGTCTGCAGTCAAGGACAGCGAATACACTGTGGACGGAGCCAAGAATATGCCAGGAGAGGTTTCTGAATATAATGTAAGATCTGCCCACTCAACATGCTGTTCAAATAACGTTTGTGTTCACATTTACAGGCGAAATGGTGCGACAGGCGAGGGTTTTGGCCCAGGCTACGTCAGACTTGGTGAATGCGATGCGCTCGGATGCTGAGGCTGAAATCGATGTGGATAATTCGAAGAAACTGCTGGCGGCTGCCAAACTGTTGGCCGATGCCACCGCCAGGATGGTGGAAGCTGCGAAGGTATGAAAACCGAAGCAACATTCAACATCTGTCTGTTCAGCATCAGGGTGTCTGCGGGGTCTAAAAGCTGATCAATCAACTAAGAGAAATCGAAAGCCCTTAAAAAGTATTGAATAGTCTTAAAGTCGGCATGAAGCGGAAGCTGCGACACTTTTTGTTTTCCGTATTGTGACGCAGTTCCTAGAGAAGCTGAATATTAAGTGTGAAAACAGTGGGCATAGCTTGTTTTCTTTTACTGCAAGCTGATTGGATGTAGTACAGTAGGCATTTCATTCAGTTTGATGGGGAAAAAGGGTTTGGGAGAGTTACTGACAGACACCTCCTGCTCACCATTTCTGTTTGTTGTCAAAACTGGCTCTTATTAGTTTAGTATTTGTTTTAGTTTGGTTTGTTTTATTCTGGTCCTGTTGTTTATTTGGTCATTTTTTTATTCTGGGTTTGCTTTGTTGTATTTGTTTTTTTTTTATCTTTTTAATTGTTATTTGTTCTGTTTTTCATAGTTTTTTGTTTGGTTTGTTTTTGTTTGTTTGGTTATTTTCATTGATTGCTTATTATTTATTTGGTTTGATATTTTCCTTACTTTCACTATGAGTTTGTTTTTATTTCATTTGTTTGATTTATTTGAGCTCTTTTTATTTTATTTATATATATTTATATATATTTTATTTATATATATTTTTTTATTTATATATATTTATATATATATATATATATATATATATATATATATATATAAATATAAATATTAATATATATATATATATATATATATATATATATATATATATATATATATATATATATATTTATTTATTTATTTATTGGTGGGGGTCGTTTAGTTTTAGTCTACTTTTTTGTTTTCGTTTAGTGCTTTTATATTTTTTTTATTGTGTTTGCCATCTTTTCACTTTGTTTGTTTTTATTTGATTTGTTAAATTTTTTTGATTGATATTTGCTTATTTTTTAATGTTTGATTTAGTGTTTTTGTTTTAGATTTTTGTTTTGTTTAGTATTTATTTTATTTATTTATTTTTTTTTTTTTTTTTGCAGTTTTATTTAGGTTTTTTTTTTTTTTACATTTTGTTTTAGTTTTTGGGAGGTAGGGGTTGTTCGGTCTACTTTTTAAGACACCATGATCCACATTGTCAATTCAGTTTGTAATAAGATTGTATTGTACCACGGTACTGTCTCAGATCTCTGTTTCAAATTAAACAGGACTCAGATTTAGCAGTCACAGTATAAAATATGCTTCCCTTCCTCATCACTCCTTCTTCTCTCAAACCCTGAAAGAGCCGTGAGCAATGATTTAGATTTGATTCATGATGGAATGGACCACAGAATTGATTGTCAGTCCCCATCAGCCACGTAGAGGAGTATAAATGGGCCAGGATGTCATTCATATTCAGACATATTATGAAGTCCTAGCCTATGGTTTGTTAGGCACGTTTGATCCATTAATCAGCCCATCACTGACATTATCAAACGTAAAGATGAGAGATGCACCACACATGGTTTCCATGGTAACAGAGATAGAGCACATGACCCAAAATTCCTCTTTGCATTGAATATTTTGTAATGTGCTCCGAGTGTGATGGCGCAGACTGCATGCTTTATAATGCGCTGTGAGTCTGTAAATGGCATAGACTGGGTGTTTTGTAATGCGCCGTAAGTGTGTGTATGGCGTAACCTAGAGTTTTTGACAAATCTCCCTTCAAAGGCCGACAGAGTCTGGGATTTATCTGTGACAACTTTGTCCTTTGAGGATTGCCTTTCATTTTCTGTTCAACCATTAAGCAGGGAGATAAAATGGAATGATGGCAACAAAATGACACATTAAAGGTAGCTAGAAATTTTGGAAACAAGTAATATGCCGTATTAAATCAGTGTATATACTGCTATATTTAAGAAAAAATAACATTGGCTTCTCTAAATATTATTTTTTTGGTTATTATGTAAAAAGCTGTCTGTATTTATGTCATAACATGCGTTATAGGTGAATCAAATAAGCTAAATTGGCCGTAGTGTATGTGAATGTTAGTGTATGGGTGTTTCCCACTACGGGGTTGCGGCTGGAAGGGCATCCACTGCGTAACACATATGTTGAATAAGTTGGCGGTTCATTTCGCTGTGGCAACCCCTGATTAATAAAGGGACTAAGCCAGAGGAAAATTAATAAACGACCCTTCATAGGAAATTGTGCTAAATGATCCCGGACGAGCCCCCACAGCTTGGTATTCAGTATATTAGAAACGTTGACTACAATTAAAAACACCTGACCCAAAGTTGATGAACTATATAAACTAATTTAGTAATCGTATCTGAACTGTTTTTGTGCAGGGAGCTGCGGCTTATCCGGAAAATGAAGACCAGCAGCAGCGGCTGAGAGAGGCGGCTGAAGGACTACGGGTCGCCACCAACGCAGCTGCCCAAAACGCCATCAAAAAGAAGCTCATTCACAGACTGGAGGTGAGCAGATGCATTACAGGACATGTTACAGATACCTGTTGAAAGTGTTCATATGTCATACTGAGTGATTCATTTGTGAATGATTCGATTCATATGGCCTTGAATCATGGAATCACTGATTCAAATTAATCAATCAGAAGACGTCTACAGTTGTGATATACAATTTTTATTTATTTGGTCACAGTAAGGCTTTAGTTACCAATTTACTGAATCACATTGATTCAGTCAGATAGAATATGTGGTTAAAGACTCACTGATTCAATGTTCCTGTCAGAGCAAGTCTCCATTAAATGATTTACTGATTTAAAATAATCCTATCAGAGAGAGTGTGTAGTTAAAGACTCACAGATTCATATGTTCCCATCAGAGAGTCTCCGGTGAGCGATTCACTGATTCAAATGTTCCAGTTAGAGCAACTCTCTAGGTAATGATTTACTGATTCAAATGATCAAATAAGAGAGTATGCTGTATGCTTACTGATTCAAATGTCCAGTTAGAGCGAGTCTCTTGGTAATGATTCACTGATTCAAATGATCCAATCCGAGAGAGTATGTGGTGAATAACTCACTGATTCAAATGTTCCCATCAGATTGAATCTCCAGTGAACGATTTACTAATTCAAATGTTCTAGTTAGAGCGAGTCTCTAGGTAATTATTCATTGAATCAAATGATCCAATCCGAGAGAGTATGTGGTGAAAGACTCACTGATTCAAATGTTCCCATCAGAGTGAATTTCCAGGGAACGATTTACTAATTCAAATGTTCTAGTTAAAGCGGGTCTCGAGGTAATGATTCATTGAATCAAATGATCCAATCAGAGAGAGTATGTAGTTAAAAACTGATTCAAATGTTCCTGTCAGAGGGAATCTTTAATGAATGATTCTCTGATTCAAAGGTTACAGTAAAAGCGAGACTCTAGGTATTTAATCACTGATTCAAATGATCCAGTCAGAAAGAGTATGTGTTTAAAGACTCACTGACTCAATTGTTACCGTCAGAATGAATCATTAGTGAATGATTCACTGATTTAAATGTTCCATTTACATCGAGTCTCTAGATAATAATTTACTGATTTAATTTCCCAAATAAGAGAGATTCTGCTGTTGAGGCTTCAAATGATTGGGTCAGAGTGAGTCCTCAATTAACAATTCACTGATTCAAATGTTTCTGTCATTGCGAATCTCCAGTGAACGAATCACTGGTTTAAATGTTCCAATTAGAGCGAGTCTTTAGGTAATGATTCACTGATTCAAATGCTCCCCTCAGAGTGAATCTCCAGTAAAAAAAAATAACTGAAAATGAATATAACTTCTTTCATTCATTCATTTCCTTGTTGGCTTAGACCCTTTATTAATCCAGGGTCGCCACAGCGGAATGAACCGCCAACTTATCCAGCACGTTTTTACGCAGCGGATGCCCTTCCATCAGCAACCCATGTCTGGGAAACATCCACACACACATTCACACACACATCATCTGTACCGCATGTCTTTGGACTGTGGAGGAAACCCACACGAACGCAGGGAGAACATGCAAACTCCACACAGAAACGCCAACTGAGCCGAGGATCGAACCAGCGGCCCAGCGACCTTCTTGCTGTGAGGCCACAGCACTACCTACTGCCCCACTACGTCACCATGAATATATTTATTTGGGCATTTTTGAGCAAGATGCTAATGGTCTAATCCGATTCAATGATTTATGCTAAGCTAAGCTAAAAGTGCTCAAACTGGAAATCAGCTGAACAGATTTAAGGATGGTGAAACTATATATATATATATATATATGTGTGTGTGTATGTCTCACGATTTTGTTTACCTATATCCATCCTTACTTCCAATGTATGCAATGTTTTGACTCGTTTGACTATTCTTTTGGGAGATAGAAAGTGCATCTTTTCTTGAAATAGTTATTCTTTGCTTTATAAAGCAGTCATCGAAACCCACCGCACGGTCACACAGTATATATTTCTGCTCATGTGTCTGTATATAGATGAGAGGAAGCGTTTTATCATCTTGTACTCAGTTGGACACATTGTTAAGCCGTCTAGTTTTCCATAGATGCTGTTTTTTCCAGTTCTGGTCAGTGGAATCCAGGGTTCTGCTTCAGTTTGGTCTCTTCACATCAACAAAGATAGCTTTGTTCTTGAGGTTCTTTCTTTTTTTTCCCCTCCTCTCTTTTATCCATCATCCTTCCTCACACACTGAATATTCTGGCGTAGTACAAAGAGTCTTTTTTTTCTGCTTGTTGCTGTTACACTGTAGCATGTTGCACTGTGAATATTGGCTAAATCCTTTAATGACGGACTTACAGCGAGGCTAGCAGCATTTCAGCAGCAGTAACGGATATTTTATTTCCTATAACTGTAGTTCTTACTGCATGTCTCCGGCCACTTTATTAGGTACACCTTATAAGTACCAGGTTGGACCCCCTTTTACATTCAGCCCTAATTTCCCATTACACCACATCCCAAAGGTGCTCTATTGGATTGAGATTCGGTGACTGTGGAGGCCATTTGAGTACAGTGAACTCATTGTCATGTTCAAGAAATCAGTCTGAGATGATTCGTGCTTTGTGACATGGTGCGTTATCCTTCTGGAAGTAGCCATCAGAAGATGGGGACACTGTGGTCATAAAGGGATGGACATGGTCAGCAGCAATACTCAGGTAGGCTGTGGCGTTGACACCATGCTCAGTTGGTACTAATCAGCTCAAAGTGTGCCAAGAAAATATCCCCCACACTATTACACCACCACCAGCAGCCTGAACCGTTGATACAAGGCAGTATAGATCCATGCTTTCATGGTGTTAACTCCAAATTCTGACCCTACCATCCGAATGTTGCAGCAGAAATGGAGACTCATCAGACCATTTCTCCAATCTTCTATTGTCTAATTTTGGTGAGCCTGTGTGAATTGTAGCCTCAGTTTACGGTTTTTAGCTGACACTGGCGCCTGGTGTGGTCTTCTGCTTCTGTAGCTCATCTGCCTCAAGGTTGGATGTGTTGTGTGTTCAGAGTTGCTCTTCTGCAGACCTCTGTTGTAACGAGTGCTTATTTGAGTCACTGTTGCCTTTCTACCAGCTACAACCAGTCTGGCCATTCTCCTCTGACTTACTCTCACATCAACAAGGCATTTGTGCCCACAGTACTGCCGCTCGATGAATATTTTCTCTTTTTTGAGCCATTCTCTGTAAAAAAAATATAATAAAATAATAATAAAACAGAAATTAATATTCAATAAAAATAACATACTAATTCTGTTATATATATTAAATATTAATTCCTATTTTATTATTTTTCTTATATATAAAAAATAGTATTATGCTATAAAATAGTATTCTAGTATTATAATTTTACAATTGTATAGTTTAATATTATTATTATTAATATTAGTATTATTGTTATGTTATTTAAATTAAATATTTATATAAGTTTTACAGTGAGATTTTTACAGTAGTAATATTTTTATTTTATTTTATTATGTGTATAATCATAATAATTTATGTAAAATTGTGTATATCTCTACTAATATTGCAATATTTGTTATAAATGTAATACCTGCCTGACAAAAGTCTTGTCGTCGATCCCAGTTGTAAGCAACAAATAATAACTTGACTTCTAGTTGATCATTTGGAAAAGTGGCAGAAGGTCGATTTGCAAAAGACCTATTGGAACCCACATGGACTGAAGATTCTCAGAGCAATCAGTCAAGTCTGGTGAAGGAAAAATCATGGTTTCATGGATTATTTCTTTTAAATGACTAGACTTTTGTCTAAGCAAAGTCAGACCTCACTGTCCTAATTAAATAATTAAAAATCAAGCCATGATTATGTTTTATTTTGGTAAAATAAGTGTAATCTTAAGGCCTTTGCCTTTCATATAAGCCACTTCTGATACCAAATGATCAACTAAAAGTCAAGTTATTATTTGCTCTTCCTAAAACCTAGACAACAAGACTTTTGTCAGGTAGTTTATTCATGTATTTTCTGTTGGTATTTACTGAATTTCTAACCTGTTGTTGTCATTTTTCTGAACCAGAATGCAGCAAAGCAGGCGGCAGCAGCTGCAACACAGACCATCGCCGCGGCCCAGAATGCAGCTGCATCCAATAAGAACACCATGTCTCATCAGCAGCTCGTCTTCAGCTGCAAGGTATTGTGGGTAAAAATGCATTCTACATGATTCAGAACACTCAACGCAAGAATTTGAGTTCAACTTCTCGAACTCTCCAGGCTGTGGCGGACCATATTCCACACCTAGTGCAGGGCATGAGGGGCAGTCAGGCCCACCCGGAAGATCTTGGTGCCCAACTGGCCCTTATCATCGCCAGCCAGAGTTTCCTGCAGGTAAACATGTATTCAGGTGTTGTTTGTTTGACAGCCTCTTATATTAGTATTAACCATTTGTGTGCTGTTGGGGATGTTTTCGTCCACTCTGGAGGTGATTTCAGTCTTAGTTTGGCCACAGCTTTCTCTGTGTTTCAGCAAATGGAATGATTTTTGGTGACAAATCTTATTTTGACACACATTTTAGGAAAATGCGTAGAAATCTGTAAAAAAAAAAAAAAAACTTTATACACTGGGCAAATTGACTCCCCTTTCGTTATGTTGGTGGCTGTTTTTGCCCCATTGACTTCCATTATAATGACATTTTTTGATTGCACCAATTTTGATGACACCATATATTCATGCATTCCTGATTGTTACTGGTTTTTCCTGTTGGGAAGAGGTCAACTCTGTCATTTTTACTGTTGATCATCAGTCGCAGAGCAGAAAAGTTTAGTTTTAAGCTTAAAATTATAAGATTATATGGAGTATAGTGTGTGTGCGTGCATGTGTGAGAATGTAAGAGAGACCTTTGTGCACTTACTCTTTTGATATGTTTTATAAAAGAAAAAATAAGCAGCTCAGCTCTCAGAACATAGCAAACATAGTAAGTGTATTTATGCATTTACACTATAATCTGCTGTTTTACTCCATAGAATAGAGGCCTGCATTCCAAAATTTCCAAATAAAGTGCGGGAGCGATCGATAACTGGTTTAATATTGGACGGGAGCGGGCGGTCTAACAAGCGAGCGAGTATGCGTATGTATGTGTGTGAATGAGACAGCGTGATGCTGCATTTAGTTTGTTTGTTGCTGTCTCTGTGTATGTGTGTGTGTGCGTGCGTGCGTGCGTGCGTGCGTGCGTGCGTGCGTGCGTGCGTGTGTGTGTGTGTGTGTGTGTGTGTGTGTGTGTGTGTGTGTGTGAATGAGAGAGAGAGTGTGAGGTGCTGTCTGTGTGTATGTATCACTTGCGGTGCTTGTGTGTGTGTGTGTGTTTATACAGACAGCTTGTCATAGGCTGTCTGGACTCTGTATAGCTGGGTGGTTTTTAGATTTGTTTTCCCCCATGGCCGCCGTTTGCGGGAATGGGCATGGCGGTTAGAAAACGGCGGGCAGTGGGACAACAAATGCTAAATATAAGCGGGAGCGGTCGGGTTCGGGCTAAAAACCTGGTGGGAGCGGTCGAGTTCGGGCTAAAAACCTGGTGGGAACGGGATTCAAAATTTAGTCCCGCGCAGATCTCTACCATAGAACTCCATAGAAAACCCAGAAACCTTTTTGCACACCCCTATCTAAAGAGTTAATGCTGCCAACTGATGATCAGCAGTAAATATGAAAAGTTTTACCTCTTTCCAACAATCAAGAATGCATGATTATGTGGTGTCAAGGCTTTACAGTCAAAAAAAGTCATTATAAGGGAGGTCAATGGGGCAAAAACAGCCCCCAACATAACAAGTGTAGTCGGTTTAAACAGTACACAGGGGTTAACTTATTCTCACGTTGCTGTTGTTGTTGTTGTCTTTTTGCTGTTATTTGTCTCCAAACAGCCAGGAAGTAAAATGGTGACGTCTTCAAAAGCGGCTGTTCCGACGGTCACTGATCAGGCGGCTGCGATGCAACTTGGTCAGTGTGCCAAGAACCTGGCCACCTGCCTGGCAGAGCTGCGCACCGCTGCACAGAAGGTGCCCACAGTTCACTGCTGCCTAGTAGGCCTCAAAACCCCATGCCTGTTACACTTTTTTTAAGTGCATTACATTTCATGGAGTGTGTGATAGAGATGTTATGATAAGCCCGCCTGTGAATGTAATTTCTTTTTCAAATATTTCCCAAATGATGTTGAACAAGGAAATTTTAACAGTATTTCCGATAATATTTTTTCCTCCGGAGAAAGTCTTGTTTGTTTAATTTCAGCTAGAATATACAGGTGATGTCTTTGTGTACGTGATTGCTCCTGCAGTCCTGCTCACAGCCTTTAGCTTTGTGCGTTTGTGTGATAGGCCCATGAAGCGTGTGGTCCTCTAGAGATCGACTCCGCTCTCAGTGCTGTCCAGACTCTGAAGAGTGAACTACAGGACGCCAAAATGGCTGCGCTAGACTTACAACTCAAACCTTTACCAGGAGAATCTGTAAGTGAAACCTATAATAGCACAAAAACATTAAAGATGATGCTACTTTTAGCAATAGCTCTCACTGGTATTTCTGCTTGCGTGTAGTTGGAGAAATGTGCTCAGGATCTGGGGAGTACGTCTAAAGCTGTGGGCTCCTCCATGGCCCAGCTACTGACCTGCGCCGCACAAGGAAACGAACACTATACTGGTATGATGGTTTTTTTAGGAGACTGCATATTGAGGTAAAGGTGGTTTTACATTCGCACATTCGTTCAGTGTCAACTTGTGACATACTCCGGTCTGAAATCACATGCAAGTCTGACTTGAAAACACCATTAGCGCTAGTTTTTTGACTGTAAACAAAGTTGTACTTTGATATTCATCGGCTGCTTATGTGATTTTGTGATTTAGAAGTTGCAAAGAATACTTTTCTGAAATTATATTATTAAGCAGAAAGTCTGAATGTGTGAATATGAAGCCAACTTCACCTCAATGGAATGTATCTGTGCTGGAAACGAAACCCAATAACAACAGGATTTACACAAGTAGGACATGTTGCTGGATTAAAATCCTGTCAGCCAATCACGACCCTCTGGTTTTTGGGTTAACGCCTCGATTGAACACGAGCAACAAATGTCGAAGCTTTTGTAAATCGTGTTAAGCTGATGTATTTGAATAAAAACAAGAATAAAGATGCTTCATCTAGAGCAGTTTACAGTGCATTCATCAGCCTCTTTATTGTGTAGACCTCCTCAACTGCTTGTTAAAACAAAAATCTAATCAGCCAATCACATAGCAGCAGCTCTAAATGATATGCAGTAGATGAGCTGCTCAAGTTCAAACCCAACATCAGAATGGGGAAGAAATGTGTTCTGCCCTTTTTTGAATCCATTCAGCCATTCTTTGGGACTGGCAGGAGCACTTTTAAGCTTAGCTTAGCTTAATTCATGAAATCAGATTAGACCATTAGCATCTTGATGAAATATCTTTTTGTAAAAGGATTATCAAAAACATCTTCCTTTTTAAAGCTTTAACTTATGACTGTTGCCTGAAAATAGACCCTATCTTAAGTAAAAAAAGTATGAGACTGTAGTTTGTAAACATAGCAACCGAGAATATAGCACCTTTTCGTTTTCCGTCGATCTTAGTAGACAGTGTAACTACAGACGTAGAGGTCAAGCTTTACATTGAAGAACTATATAAACCCTTTGGTCATTTTTGAACGAGATGCTAATGGTCTAATCCGATTCAATGATCTATGCTAAGCTAAGCTAAAAGTGCTTCCGCCAGACATGGAGATCGGCTGAATGGATTCCAAAATGCTAAAACTCAAGGGGAGTTTTAATATGACTATATTTTCAATACATCCTTTATTTTATAAAGGCAAAACAAACATCCAACCCAGTACCAGCAAGGTGTACCTAATAAAATGGCTGGTAATGCACTGTATATTTAACATTGTGTCCCTTTTATTACTGATCATTTTGAAAATATAAAGCTACTCGATGCTAGCATCTGAAAAAATTTGCTGTTTTCGCAACAAAGATGCTTATTGGGATCTAGAATAGGAAAATTATGTCAACTCTTTAATAATTTTTAAGTGAGATGCTAATGGTCTAATCCGATTCAATGATCTATGCTAAGCTAAGCTAAAAGTGCTCCGGCCAGACATGGAGATTGGCTGAATGGAATAAATATGCTAAATCTCAACTGTTTAACTCTAGGGGAGTTGTAAAATGACCATATTTTCAACACATCCTTTTTTTTAAGAACCTGCAAAGCAAATAAAACATTACCAAAAAATGTTGTAGTGTAAACAGGCAATTCTGAAGGCAAAGCTGCATTTAACCCAGTACCAGCAAGGTGTACCTAATAAAATGGCTGCCAATGCACTGTATATTTAACATTATATCCCTTTTATTACTTATCATTTTGAAAATATAAAGCTACACAATGCTAACATCTGAAAAACAAGCTGTTTTCGCAACAAAGATGCTTATTGTCATCTACAATATAGTGACTTAAAATTTTCAGTTAATCTTAGTACACAATGTAACTACAGAAATAGAAGTCAAGCTTCTAAAAGGTAAACTATATAAACTCTTTGGTCGTTCTTAAATGAGATGCTAATGGTCTAATCCGATTCAATGATCTATGCTAAGCTAAGCTAAAAGTGCTCCGGCCAGACATGGAGATTGGCTGAATGGAATAAATATGCTAAATCTCAACTGTTTAACTCTAGGGGAGTTGTAAAATGACCATATTTTCAACACATCCTTTTTTTTAAGAACCTGCAAAGCAAATAAAACATTACCAAAAAATGTTGTAGTGTAAACAGGCAATTCTGAAGGCAAAGCTGCATTTAACCCAGTACCAGCAAGGTGTACCTAATAAAATGGCTGCCAATGCACTGTATATTTAACATTATATCCCTTTTATTACTTATCATTTTGAAAATATAAAGCTACACAATGCTAACATCTGAAAAACAAGCTGTTTTCGCAACAAAGATGCTTATTGTCATCTACAATATAGTGACTTAAAATTTTCAGTTAATCTTAGTACACAATGTAACTACAGAAATAGAAGTCAAGCTTCTAAAAGGTAAACTATATAAACTCTTTGGTCGTTCTTAAATGAGATGCTAATGGTCTAATCCGATTCAATGATCTATGCTAAGCTAAGCTAAAAGTGCTCCGGCCAGACATGGAGATTGACTGAATGGAATAAATATGCTAAAACTCAACTGTTTAACTCTAGGGGAGTTGTAAAATGACCATATTTGCAACACATCCTTTTTTTTCCGAACATGCAAAGCAAATAAAACCTTACCAAAAAATGTTGTCGCGTAAACAGGCAATTCTGAAGGCAAAGCTACATTTAACCCAGTACCAGCAAGGTGTACCTAATAAAGTGGCTGGTAATGCACTGTATATTGAACATTTTGTCTCTTTTATTACTGATCATTTTGAAAATATAAAGCTACACGATGCTAGCATCTGAAAAACGAGCTGTTTTCGCAAACAAAGATGCTTATTGTGATCTACAATATAGCAACTTTTCTTTTTCCGTCAATCTTAGTACACGATGTAACTTCAGAAATAGAAGTCAAGCTTCAAAAAAAGAAAACTATATAAACTCTTTGGTAATTCTTGAATGAGATGCTAATGGTCTAATCCGATTCAATGATCTATGCTAAGCTAAGCTAAAAGTGCTCCCGCCAGACATGGAGATCAGCTGAATGGATTCCAAAATGCTAAAACTCAACCATTAAACTCTAGGGAAGCTGTAAAATAACCATATTTTCAACACATCCTTTCTTTATGAAGGCAAAATAACATCCAACCCAGTATCAGCAAGGTGTACCTAATAAAGTGGCCGGTAATGCACTGTATATTTAACGTTTTGTCCCTTTTATTACCTTTCAGTTTAACAATATAAAGCTACACGATGCTAGCATCTCAAAAAAGCTGTGTTTTCGCAAACAAAGGTGCTTACTGTGAATTTAAAGTGTAAAGAAAAAACAGAGAGGAGTGATGGTGCAACTTACCTGAACCACCCATCAATTTTTCACTCTGTCTGGCTGGATCGCCGCTCTCAAGAGAGCTTCTAAAGACAGATTTTAATGGCACGCTCGAACAAATCCCCCCTCTTCCACTCCGGCTCCTGCAGCTTCTCAAGCCAAGAGTATAACTAACCCCGTCCCTC